GGGGTGGGCTGTTGGGGCTTTGGCGGAGTGTGTGGTGCCGGAGGTTAGCCCGGGAAGGGGGCACAAAGGGAGTGAGGGGGCGGCAGCACCAGCCCACTGGTGTGAAGTGACATGCAAATGCCTGTGACTGGCCCCGTCCCACAAGCCTACTGCCAGGCCTGCGCCAGGGCCGCGCCCGTCTTTGACAGGCGCGGGGCCCCAGAGGACCGCCACGGGTGCGCCGTTCGGCAGCAGCCCCTGGCCTACGCCTGACGCGCTACTGCCTCGCCCCGCCCAGCTGGCTGCCGAGCTAGACATTTTCCGGCTGTGATAGATTCGAACATCGTGCCCGGCAAGGTCCCGAACCACGGGCTCAGCATTCAGGGCCGAGGAAGATTCAGGGTTGACTGTGGAATTGGCCAGCCCCCGCACCTGGCTGCCGAGCTTGAGGTCGCTCTTGAACTTCTGGGCCAGCTCCTTCTCGGCCTTGCGCGCCTCCTTGCCCATCTGGAACGCGGCCGCGTTGCCGCGCTCCGCCTCGGCCAGGGCCGTCTTGATCTGGCTGACCTGGAGGGTTGAGGGTTGGGGGGGTGCGGTTGGTGGTTGGGGTCCACGAAATAGGATATGGGCGCGTGCAGCATGGGCTGATGGGGAGAGGGGAGGAGGGGGTACAGGGAGTGGCATGCGGCGAAATGTGAAGGTGGGGGGCTCATGCAAGTTATCCGCCTGACAGAAATTACACAGGCATAAGTGAGGGTGGGTTGACGACGGGTTGGGAGACGGCAGTGAGGGTGTGCTGGGACCCCGGGATGCGCCCTCTGCAGGCAGCACCCTCAGCGGCGGGCGCGTGGACCACATCTGTGCTGCGAACAGGCGGAGCGGCCAGCAACGCGGACCTACCAAGAAGGCGTCCTTATCCGAGAAAAATGACGTGGCGCGGCCGCGTGTGCCGGCGCGACCCGTTCGGCCTGCGGTCGGGGGGAACGGCGACGCGAGCAGGGGGGTTGGGTCAGGGCCCGCCAACGCCCTGCGAGCAAGGGGCCGCGAACAGCAAACGGACGCTGCTGGGCGCTCGCTGGCGCTGCCATCTTGGAGGGTGCGGCGAGGCAGACGCCTGGGACGCAGCCCCCCGTTGCCGTGACGTCAGCGTGACGTCATCGGCGCCCACCGATGCGGTGCACGTAGTCCTCGAACGCGCGCGGCAGGTCCATGTTGATGACGTGGCCGATGCCCTTCACATCAAGACCCCTGGGTGTGCATGTGTGTGTGGGGGGGGGGGAGGGTGGGGGTGTGCGGTGAGGCGTGGTCTGCATGTCCGCGCCGCGAGGCAATGCAGGGGGTACGAGCCCGTGCCGCCGACCAGCCAGCTGTCCAGATTCAGCCTCGACCGTGCCATGCATATGCGCGCACATGCGCACATGCGCACACACGCAGGCGCACGCGCGCGCGCACTCTGTCCCCTGCACACCCCCCACCTGCTTGCCACGTCCGTAGCCACCAGCACGCGCGCGCGGCCCTCTGAAAACTCCTTCAGGCTGCTCTCACGCTCCCACTGCCCCAGGCCCCCGTGCAGCGCCACCGCCGGGATGCTCTCCGCCTGCAGCGCCTGGGCCACCTGGGGTCGCGAGGGGCCGGCGCGCGCGTCCGTGTGCAGACGGGCGAGCGTTGGGTGTGGCGACGCGTGCAGCGTGCGGGCAGCCGGCGTTACAGAGGAGGGGGCCTGCAGGCTTGCGCGTCGCCAGGGGTCTGAGGGCGGCGCAACAAGCGGGCGGCGCTGAGTGCGTTAAGGCGCTGCACGACATCCCCATGGCGGCGCCTTGAGAGGCCGGGCAACCGCTGTGTTGGGGGAGGTGTCCCAGGTGGCCGGCGCTCCCTGCCGGCCGCGCACCTCGTCGCAGCGCGTCTTGCGCTCGACAAACACGATGGTGAGCGGCATCTCGGGGCCGCCGCGGGACGCCTGCTCCAACTCCTCCTGTGGGGGAGGGGGGCGCGGGTTGTGCGTGGCGCGGGTGAAAACCAGGCATGATGCAGAAGGCGTCGAGCGGGGCGCGTGCCTGCTCCACCGCCGAGGCTCCCAGCCCTTCGCCACGCCCCATTCTTGCAAACCTGCGCTACGGCCCCAGCCGTGCAGCCCAAAGAAAACCCCAAACCCGCCACAAGGGCTTGCCGAGCTGCAGCCCCGGCCGTGTCCACTCCTCGTCCCTCCAACACGCTAGCGTGCCTCAACCCCTACACCCTGCCACCACAACAACACGCTCCAACCCACAGCAGCACTCACATCAGCAGCCCCTGACGCGCTGAGACGCACCACCCTCCCCCCAAACCACACACCCATCGGACAGCAGCCCCGCACCATCATGAACACCACCCCCACCTGCAGCAGCGCGCACAGCAGGTCCAGCTTCTGCCTGTCGTCCGCCCGCTCCAGCGTCTGAGCCACGTTGGCCGTGGGGACAGACACCTGTGGTGTGTGTGTGTGCGTGTGTGTGTGTGTGTGTAAGTGTGTGTGTGTGTGTGTGTAAGTGTGTGTGTGTGTGGTGTTGAGAGAGGGGGGGCAACGCTAGTTGCCCGCGCGGCGCGGCGAGTGAAGCTGGGGGAGGAAGAGTGGCTGCCAGGCCCTGCGAGCTGCGGCGCTAACCAGCCGGCCATTGTGATAGCCCGCAGCCCCCAACTCTGCCCTAGTCATCCAAGGCTGCAATGAGTTGACCATGACTTCGATCCAGCAACTCATCGCAGCGCTTCCTTACTTGCCTCGCAACGGAGGCTGCAATGGGTCCAGTGCGACCCATCCCTGGACCCCCCCTCCCCCGTTTTGACTCAGGGGCACTGCACCGCACAGCAGCGCCCCACCTTCTCGGCCGCTCCCCGTTGTGTGCGGCTCCCCGTCGCCCCCCCCCCTCC